AAAAACCAAACCAAATGAAAAGAATCATAAATGCATTTTAAACCTACAACATAGTGCTTTTTAAATCTTACATTTGCTTCCCAGGTCATCTTATCTGAAGCTCTGATTTATAAGTATCTGTGTATATTCAGCTCCAACAAAATACAGAGGCATGGTCATTATCCTTGCCTATCCTTTACCCCACTTGTTCAATCTTCAAATCATGTGATTTAAAAAAATCATAAGCCTAATATTTTCTCTGCCATTACCCCTTTAAAGCAATATTCCTCTCATTTTTTACAAAATAGCCTTCCAGTTTTCATTTTCTATAGTCTTGAGAAATTATTTGGTAGAGTTATTATTTTTATAAATATGTAAGAAACAAAGTATAAAGGGGCACACAAAGCCTTACATGAAATAAAATGAAAAATAAATACAAATACATACTGTTTTGCTATTTTTTCAATAACAATGAAGGATACATTCCTCATGTCTCTGTGGAATGAACTTTGGTGCCCAGCCATCATTTTTTTTTACTGGGTCATTAAATATGGAGAAGAAAGTAGAGAGCTGATTCATTTGTTCGGTAACTATTTACGCCTCATCCCTGAAATCCATGGCAAGTGATTTAGTTCATATAGTCAGTTATAATGTCTCACTAGTGCGTAAGTTGCAGATTCCTTCAAGTCTTCAGTGACCACTAGTTTTTCAACTTTCCTGTTCATCATTCTCCTTTTTTTGCTCTGTAGTTCATTCCTGAACTATTTATATATTATGATGGTCTTAGTCTGTGTACTGCTCCAGAATTGTAGGTGTGCGATCCAACAGCTGTACGTATCCAGGTGTGTACAGTTCACTGCCTCAGTTTGTTTGGCTTTTGCTTCTTATTGATAACCTATTCCTCCTATAATCCTAAGTCCCATATAGCACTTATTTCATTGAAAGTCCCCTTCTAGTACTCTGGGGTTAATTTGCAAAGTTTCTGACCCCTGACCTAGGAGCTCAGATGAAAACACCTGGCTCCTGTTTGGTCACCAGCTTCCAGTCTACTGATCAGCAAGTATATATTACACATCTAATGGGTAACATTGTACTCCTTATTAAAACAGATTAACCTCTTGAGAAAAAGGTGTGAAGATGCACAAGAAAGTGTATGCATACCGTCTTTGCACCATATTAACTTGCCAAATCCGAATGCTTAAAGCAATATCACCCTGAAGCAACATGCAATACATAATTTAACCACTTACTCTCTGAATTGTTGACACTTTCCTTCTTTGGGCTTTTGATCCTCTGTAATTAAAGCCTTTCCATTGGCAGAATAATAACTGAAAGAAAAAAGAAAAAAAAAAACACCTTGTTTTTAATTTAAATGATTGTCACCCTTTGAAAGCAGTTGTTGTAAAGATATTTATCCGTATACTAAAAAGTAATTGAACTAACTAGCACTAGCTGCTCTCGCAAGGGACCTGGGTTTGATTCTCAGCACCCACATGGTGGCTAACAACTGTCCATAACTTCAGTTCCAGGGGATCCAACACCCTCTTCTGTTCTCCATGAGCATTGCATGACATGGGTGCACGTACATTCATGCAGGCAATACACTCATACACATAAAAAAAAACAAACAAAATATTTTTTAAAAAGAAAGTGTCCAGAGCTGGAGAGATGGCTCAGTGGTTAAGAGCACTGACTGCTCTTGCAGAGGACCCGAGTTCAATTCCCAGCATCCACATGGCAGCTATGAACCACCCTTAACTCCAGTTCCAGGGGAATCCAAAGCCCTCTTCTGACTTCCATGGCATTGCACGACACGGGTGCATTCACATACATACAGGCAATACACTCATATACATAAAGCAAAAATAATAAATAAAATATTAAAGAAAGTTTCCACAAATCAGCCTAGAGTATTCTATACAATGCCATACACATATATATATATGAGCAGGCAATACACTCATACACATAAAGTAAAAATAATAAATAAAATATTAAAGAAAGTTTCCACAAATCATCCTAGAGCATTCTATACAATGCCATACACATATATATATGAATATATATATAATCTTCTGAATCATCTTTGCAGATCCAAAATAGATACAAGGAAAATTTGAGCTTTCATGTTATAGTTGACTTTGCATCTGTCTAGAGTTTGGTTCTTAAGGATATTTTTGACAGTGACAACCCAGATTAAAGCTGTGTCAATGTTTTGACAAAATTTACTGATGAGTTTAATCAGCCGAATTGTCCATTTAGTCCAACAAGGGCTTGACAGTGTGGCTTGCTTATGCGTTGTTTCTTTGTTAAATTAACTTGTTTTTTTAAACTTAATTGACTGCTTAAGTCAACATAATATAACCATATGAATACAGCATTTGGAAGCTTTTCAAAGTAATTTTTTTCTTAAATGACTATACCAAAGTTAAAAAACAACTTGTTTTTTTAACAAATGTACAGAGTTTGCTATATGACATTCTGAAAACTATGCTTTTTAAAGACCTTTCTGAAAACAAAAATACACCTCTATGATTCTATTCAGGAGTTAAAAATCATGAAACTGGATTCTTGAATTCTAGCCTTTTTATCATTCAATAATGTTTTATTTGAAAATATAAAAATAGAAAATGTTTTTATCCACAAAGATAGAATCTTGGTAATATAAAGGACTGAATGTTTACACAGCTGTGCAGTTTCTGAATGGTAAACAGGCATATTTTATTTTAGGGGCACTAGAGATTCAGTTTCTTGCTCTTGTGAGAATACCCTGCCAACAAACTTTGAAAATGACATTACAACCAACCTCTAATGATGCTGTCTCTCTGATCAATGCTATGGATGTGCTATAATATTGTGCATATGTGTGTATGGGAGGGGGCCTGAAAGAAAAATGAGGAGTGGGGGAGAGAAAACAAGATGTTGAATGGCAACCATCATGGAATTAGAGCACAAGGCACCAAAAGTACTTTAAGTGACCATCTCAGAAGTTTCGTATAGTCCATGGTACAATTATACAGATGAGCTAAGAGTCTTGTCATTTTCCATTTTGTAACAATAAGTATGTTTTAAACCCAATGGGTACCTACCAAGTCAGGATATTCATACTTACAAATATCTCTTTCTCACTTCTCTGTTTATCTCTTCCCATCCATTTCTTCCCCCATTTCATGCTTAGAAAAGTTCCACATATTTTAAATACTTATTTTTATGGATGTACACAGTACTGAATTAACCAAGTGTGTAAATTTAATCTATCCCCTATGTTTCTCCATAACTAAGTCTCTTGTTTAAAAGTCCACTTATTTGACAATAAGCAATTTGGTTAGAATTTCAAGGATAGATTTTTAAGGAGGACTTGTTGAGTTTTTAAGACAGTTAAACATTTGACTTTCTTCCAATATGTACTGATTATGTTCACAGTCTTGGAAAGGGAAAATGTCAAAACTAAAATGAGAAGATAGAAGTTTTCTGTAGAGAAACAAGGATACATGTTTAGCAATTATCTAAAGTGAAAGAGCCTGAACAACTTTTATTGTCACTAATGTAAAGGATTCATATGGAGTGTTCTTGCTACACTAGTATTTTGACAACAGTGTATCTTGTATATTTTGGCAAGAACTTTACCAAACACAAATATTAAAGGAATAAAACATTTGAAAACATTTTCCTTTGTTGAAATAAAATAGTAAATTAAAAGAAACATGTGATGCCATTCTTTGTCTATCGAACTGACTAAATTTAAAGGATTTGATTATGTTTTTTATTGACAAGCAATTTGGTATTGGTGAACTTATACATTTCATTGCTTTTTGAGAGCAGTTATTTGCTAAATTCAATGTGTGCATCTCTTGACACATAAAATTCATTTTATTTTAAAATTTATTTGTGTATGTGTGTAGGTGTGAGAGCTCGGGCCCACGCATGCCACAGTGTGTATGTGGTGGTCAGAGAACAGCCTTCAGGAACTGGTTCTCTTTCAACTATGGGTTCTGGAGATAGGACTCGGCTCTCCAGGCTTGTGGCAAGAAATTTTATTCATTGAGCTATCTCACCAACCTCAATTTAATTTTTAGGTCACAGGATATATGCATACAGATTATGAATACAAATATCTGAGTGCATATATGTAAAAGCGTATGCCATTAAAAGAGAAGGAAACACTCTTTAGATCTGAGATTTCTATCATATATCTGACAAGTAAAAAGTAACACCAGTATGTGTGCCCTTTTATAGCTGAGTAAAATTTACCTGAGTAAAATAATAGGAAGGGTCTAAGGAAACTTCTAATATGTTTGTGTTTGTGGAGGAGACTCTAAAGGAAAGCCCTGCATTGTTCTCTGTTGTCTCCTGATGGTGGGGAGGACCAGGGAGGAAGCTAGAAGAACATATAATTCTCTCCACACAACTATGTTTCCATAAATAGACAGCATTGCCTCATAAAACATACTGGTTTTGTTCATTATTGCTTAAAACCAAAAATTGCTTGTAAAATTGAAATATATTATTAAATTCCTTTAAATTCAACAACAGTAAAATTTGGGGTAATAATTACGTTAAAAAGAAAGAAGAAAGAAAAAAGGCACCTCAGATTAATCCAAACATTTTGCTTTTACCACTTGGATGATCTTTTTAGATAACATTTTTTGATTTTCATTCTTTTTGAGACAGAGTCTCACTATTTTTATAGCCCAGGCGGTCCTTGAACTCATGATTCTCTTCCCTCACTCTCCTGCGTATCTGGACTAAATAACAGGGAAATCGTACCCTCCTGTTTTATACATTGCTAGTTTTAAACTCACAGGCTCAGATATGGTTTTAATAGAAAATTTAGAGTGTTTTTTTGTCACTCGACTGGGGCGGCATCTGTTACTTGAGAGAGATACTCTATTTTAGTTCAAATTATGAATCCTAACTGCTTTAGTCCTTGTGATAGTTTACCCCAAATACTACAAAGGCAAATACATGTCATGTCCTTGCCCATACAATAAGGATAACGTCTTTTCTTCTTCCTCTTGTAGCTTTCAGCCGCGCCCCAATTCCCATGGCAGTGGTCCGCAGAGAGCTCTCCTGTGAGAGTTATCCCATAGAGCTCCGCTGTCCTGGTACAGATGTCATCATGATTGAGAGTGCCAACTACGGGAGGACGGATGACAAGATCTGTGACTCCGATCCTGCTCAGATGGAGAACATCCGATGCTACCTGCCAGATGCCTATAAGATTATGTCTCAAAGGTATGTTCTCTTTCTGTACCTATAATATCAACCTTCAACTTTAACCTAAGTGTTAGTTTAAGTGTGGTAAGAGCATAGAGTGCTGTGCTGCGTATTTTAGGAAAATTTTAAGCAGTTTTTCAGTATAGATCACTCCTCGTTTCACCAAAATTCACAGAAGCACTTGAAACATATAAAACTTCATTTCATCATTTAGTAAATTTCGTGATATAATCTCCTTGGTGTTGGTCTGTTAATGTTTTGTAGAAGTGGGTTTGTTATGTGAGAGTTAAAATGTCCTTTTCTCAGAAATGTCCTAGAATTCCTGATGGGTGCAGTTGAGGATGGGTGCAGTTAGATGTTCATTTAGGTATAGCAGAGGTAGGAATAATCCATTGACCTTGTAATTATTACCAAAATGTAGGTATAGTGTATCCTCTCGATCCAGTGAACTATATAGGCCACATATACATCGTGACAGACCTGTGGAATGAAGCTGCTTTCAGCACTCATTAAATCCTTAGTGAGCACTCTTGGTTAGTTCTTAATGGAGACTTGTCAGTGAGCTGAAAAAGCTGTAGCTCTTTTCATTTGGACTACTCAATGTACATTACATTTACACTTACCCAAAATAAATGTTTTTGACTCTTTGAGAGAAGAAATTGGTTCCCTCTTTTCAGATGACCAAGGCTTCCAAGCTGCTTTAGACTGAACTGTTACACTGTCATGTCAACTATAGTATATTATATAATCGCGATAAATACCAACTACAGCAAAGGAATATTATGCAAATAGTATGGACACTTTATGTATATTAATATATTCAAAATGAAATAAAAATGGAAAGCAACTTCTAAAGAATATCTTAGATAAATGATTCTTTTTAGCCTTTAGAAAAGGATTATATCAGAATACCAATATTTTTAAGTATATCTTCTATTAGGAATATTAATAAGTACTAAAATTATTGTTACTTCACCATTGGGTGGATTTGTTAAAACATCTTCCTAACTCACTTGAGACTCGTACTTTAGACATGTGAGACAAGAAGATACATAAGATATCTTTTATGTAGATTTTGTACAAGTACATAAGTGAAACTTTGTACTAACCTATAAACTAAGTATGAAAAGTTTGGATCTGTCTGCAGCAGAATGGTCTAATATGACATCTCACTGAGAGATGTCGTTTGCATCACGGCTGTTATGATTGCATTGACTTGAGGCTGAAATGGCATTGGTCTGTAGAGCACGTGCTCAAGTCCCAGGGCTTGATTCCCTAGTACACACATATTCATGTATGTACGTACGTACACACATATTCATGTATGTACGTACGTACACACACACACACACACACACACAGAGACTGAACCTACTCTTCCAAAATCAAAGTGGCTTCATGTTGTTATTCCCATTTGCTTAGTCCCCTGAATTCTCTACTTCATGTTCTATCCTTATCACACGAAAGGATTAGTTCAAATGACAGAGCACATTTATTTGTCCTCCCAAAATCTGTGGTCTGTCTTAGTATTGTCACATTCTCCTCCTAATGTCATCTTAACCGCATGTGAGTCCATGTTATCACACAGTTGGTTGCCTTTGTCTAACTGTAGGTTTCTAGAAAACAGACTTATTGCTGATTTTACCTAAAACTAACTTCAGTCTCTAAATGAGTAAACAGATATGCTCTTTGATCTCTCTTATCTGTATAACTTACGTTTGTTTTGGATGTTATGTGTATATATTCTAGTGACTTTTAAATAGAGCTACCACATAGGTAGTTTTGAAATCTAAGTGTGGACATGAATTTTAGCAACTACATAACTTCAGAAATGTTACACCATGTGGGATTTAGCTTAAGTTTCTTGTTCTCTTCAGCTACTAATGGGAATGTCTCATTAACTCAGCCAACTCATGAAAGTACACAATATGCACTTCACTATGACCGTCAGGCAGGTTTGATGGATAAATAAGCTGGGCGTGGTTCCTGCACACAAAACTCTTCTCAATGGATAAACGGCAGCCAGCCATACCATTTGCTGAACATTTTATTCTTATTTCATTTGCATTTATTAAAGAGATCAAAAAGGGAAGTTTCTTTCAGGTATATAATATCAGAGACCTTATCATCGGAGAGAAGGTCTTAGAGCTGGTTGCTTACATGCAAGAACATTAAAAGGACACACCAGGAAACAGCTTCTTTCCTATAATTTTCTCTGGTGCGGCTTCACAAGTTTTGGTGTTCTGTTCTTGATGTTCCTCCATTCCTTTTGACTCAGTCCTCTTCCAAACGTGTCAGTGCTTCGAGTAATACTCTCTTCTCTCAAAATTCTCCTTGTACAGCAGGCACCCATACATTAAGATTAAGAAACCATAGTTACAATGGATGATACACGAGCTAGATGAATTTCCTTATTTAATTTTTTGCATTGGAGCCTTTATAATTTGACATCAATTCCTCTAAATGTGAGAAATTTGAATGTCACATACAGTGACATTTCTGCTGTCTTTTTAGGATATATTATAGCATATGTGGTCTAATAGCCATACTTTATATGTAAGTGCATACTTGCCTGTATTTTTTTCCACATTGTAAAAAGGATTTGTGAAGCCGGGCATGGTGGTGCACACCTGTAGTCCCAGCACTTGGGAGGCAGAGGAAGGCAGATCTCTGTGAGTTCAAGGCCAGCCTGGTCTACATAGTGAGTTCCAGGACAGCTGGGGCTACAGGGAGACCCTGCTTCAAAAAGACCAAAAAAAAAAAAATTGTGAAAAGGCTTGTATGTACATATACCTGTGTGTATTTATATGCCTATGTATGTCATTGAGATATGTGTATAAGGGAAATTGCACTTTATCTAATGTGTACAGGTCAAGGAATTTTTAAAAAATCAAGCTCATTTATGTGACTAACAAATAGGTGAAGACGGACGCAACATTCGCTGTACCTGAGAAGTGTCCTTATGAGCTGCAGTAGCCACACCCCCTCTCCAAGCATACCTCTGTCCTGACTTTGGACAACTTAAATTAGTTTTGCTCACTTCATAAAGAAAAAAAAAAACAAATAATTTTATATTCTCATTCAATGCATTTGTTTCCTGATAGTGTTACTGAAGCTTTTTTTGCCATATCTTTTTCATTTCAAGTATAATTTTCTAAGACTTTTATAAAGTGATGCAACCTTTATAATAAATCAGTTTCAAATTTTTGTATTACTGTGATGAGACTCTGCAGACCAGTTGCTGTTGCTCTCTGTCACTTTCCTCGCCAATGCCATGAATTCACCTACATTTTGTTTGTATGTTTATCCTCAACACATAATTTTAAGCTGAAGTATGAGTATTTGAAATCAAGCTAAATTTACTTAACTTCTCAGTGCAGACAGTGGGAAAAAGATATTGGCAGTGAGTTTTGGAGGCATAAAAATAAATCTATCATTAGCATTTCAAAATAAATAATAATCAAATATTGCAAACTTAGTTGGTTAAATGCATCAAGTTGGAATAATTTTTTAATTAAATAAGAAATTTGACTTTGTCAATACTATAGTTTTCCATGCTGTGATCACATAAGGAACATGCAAAGAAAAACGTAGACAGACACACACACACACACACACACACAGAGAAACAGAGACAGAGAGAGACAGAGAGACAGAGGAGAGAATTGTTTCTCACCTTTTGAAAAGTTATACTGCAGTTGGCTTCTGTTGTACTCAGTCCTGCTGAAATTAAGAACTCTTCAGTAACTATAAAGAAGGAAATGTCTATGGCAGATTGTGTGTGTCCATAGCCTTGTCAGTGTTTTGCAATGACTATATGGCTACATGTGACTTTCTACTCACCACATTCTGTGACTTTGGAGAATCCATCACAGTGTGTTTCATATTTGTCTTATACATTATGAACAACCTTTGAATCCATGGTTTTCCCCAGATAGGCACAGAACCTCTAATACATACCACATTGGGTCACTATTTTCGTACATGTTGGAAGACAGAGTAGAAAAGGAAAGAAGATAACTCCCATTCTAAAAGTCCAAAATATACAGAATATAGATAAACAAGAACATTCTTTTCCTCAGAGTATTTATATTTTGAATATTTTAGCTTCTGAGACTACATCTTGGCCAATCAACTCAAATGCTTCCAAGTACTCTTTGCTAGTAATTTAATTTTGAAGGAAAGTATCTGTTAATTATCTGCATTTCTAACAAAATTTGAAGAATAGCTGTGGGTTTTTATGGTATTCTAAATACAGAAAGATTTGAAGAGCTAAATTTGCAAGTATGTATAACTGGAAAGTATTTTAAATTTAAATTTTCATTGATTTCAATTTCTTTTATAAAATGACTTTATCATGTTGTGACAGAATTTGAGAACTTTTGAGCTGCTGTTTCCTTAGACTCTTAAATTTTCAGTGATGGCTTTCATTTGGTATGTGTTCATGGTAACTTCAGAACATGTACCCTTTAAGAAAAGCTTTGCCAAACAAGCTCAGCAAAATTAAGCTAAAAAGGCCTTAAGAAGTGTTAGTATGACAGATACACCTTGATATTTCTCAAATTTGAATTATAAAACACAAGATTCATTTTGCTCACTTATAGTAAATGATCAATGAAGTTGCTTGTAAACCTGTCTTACTCTTTCTATAGTCAATCTGTAGGATTTGAGATGTTACAATATTTCAAAAAGCTCCAAGAAAGAGGAAAGCAAAAGTAAAACATTCCTGAATATTAGACGTTATAGACGGAATACTCTCAGTTATCTTTTGAATGTGCTATATATTGATTAGTCTTGTCCCCAAAGGTCTGTGGATTTGGAGCTCAGTACTCAGCATAATAGAGGAGCTGATGGAACATCTAAGAGCTGAAGTTAAGGAGAGGTCCTTAGATCATTTTCTGTGAGTCAGATAGTATTGTAAGAAGTTAGCAGGATGGGCTGGAGAAATGGCTCAGCAGTTAAGACTACTGGCTGCTTTTGCAGAGGACCTGGGTTCAGTTCTCAGCACCCACATGATG